TCCCACCAAGGAAGCCCCCTCTATCAATGTATGTTGGGAACCCTTACACAATTTATAGTCCTAGAAAGTAGGCTGGGTACTAAGAGCCTAAATGACTTGCCCAGGGCCATGCAGCCAATATTCATCAGGGGCAGGATCTGAATGCAGGCTTTCCTCATTCCTTGTCACCATTTCTGGTTTTGGCTGCTCCTCTCATGCCTTGTAATAGATGGGGCCAGAAGGAGGACTTGGCTTATTCCATGCTCCTCAGCACTACTTATAGACCTCCCTTTTACCACTATGACTCAGCAACTTCCTTTGAAGTTCTCCTTCGATCTGAATTAAAGTCATCTCATCCACCAATCTCCAAGACATTCTTCTTCCTTTCTTAAGGAGTTCATAGTCTTCTTATCCACCCAATTCCATGTCTCAAACTTGGGGAGCCTCTCGTGTTAAAGTACCCTCAAACATTACGGTCCCCCAATTATGGGAGTTGGGATGGTTGAGGTTAATGGTCAAACTGAACTTCAATAATCTGCTTCCTAATTCCATCTCACTCAAGCACAGAGATGGTCATGGCCTAGAGGTCATGTATAACTATGCTACATACATGATCCTCAATGTTGAGCTTCCTTTTGCTGTTCAGAGCCACCTAGCCTTCCAATTCTTCCTCTGCCTCACCCTTCTTAAATATATTCTTCATCCTCATTATTACTTCCAGTCCCTCTATACTTCCCTGTTTTCCCAATCCATCAGCCTTACTCTGTCATTGCTTTTTTTCCTTTCATAAACTTGACCCCATGATGAACCAGTACAGCTATAACCCGTCTTCTACCACTGAATCCCTTGCTCTCTTGAACTCATCATCTTTCTCCCAACTCCTCTCTTCCTAAATTCCCCATTTCTTTTGAGGACACCCCTATCCTTTGAGTCATCCAGATTCATAATCTTGGAGTGATCCTTAATACCTTCCTCTCCCTCATCCCTTAAGTCGCTAAGTCTTGCCAATTTGCTCCACAAAATCTTTCACATCTGTCCTATTTTCTCTACTCACATAGCCACCACCCTATTTCAGGCATTTATCACTTCCCATCTCAATTATTATAATGGCCTCCTCATTAGTCTATGTGCTTCAAGTCTCTCCCCTCCCCAACCCATCCTCCACACAGTTGCCACAATTATATTCCTAAAGCGCTGGTCCTTGACCATGGCACCCTGGCCTACAAGAAGCTCCAGTGACTCCCCTGCCTCTAGGATGGAATCCAACTCTTCTTATTGTCTTTTAAAGCTCTTTACAATCTATATCCAGCTTGTACACTAGCCTCCTTCCTAGTCTGAATTACAGTTAAGCTGGCATACATGCTGTGTTCCTTATATATAATGTAAGCTCCTTGAGGGGAGATAATACTTCATTCTTGTCTTTGTAGACTTGGGTGTGCTGCACTTACATAGCCTTAATAAATTTTTGCTGAATTGAGTTAAATATCACTCCAGGGTGGAATCGAATCTCCCGGCCACAGGATCAGTAACTCCTTCTTCAAAACAGGAACCAAGAAATATATTCCAACTTGCTCATAACCAGGGTGAGAGGACTCCTACCTAAGCCTACTCAGGGAGCGACCAACTAATCAAACAGATGAACTACTGAGCATATACCCCAATAAGGTCAAATATGGAGACAAACGTCTAATATAAACAAAATAGACATGCAGGTCACTTTGGTTTTGTTACAAGAGAGGTGCTTAGTGGAGTCACAAGCATATTGAGAACTGACTGTGATGGAAAAATTCATAACTTGAAGTCATCAAATTTTTAAAAAGGAAAAACAAATAAATTAAATGAATGAGGGAGGAACACGTAGGCAGAGCCTCTGTGTGTGTGTGTGTGTGTGTGTGTGTGTGTGTGTGTGTGTGTGTAGCGTGTGACTTGTTTGCTGTTTAGTCATCCAGTTGTATTGACTCTCCATGACCCCATGTGTGGTTTTCTTGGCAAAGACACTGGAGCGTTTTGCCATTTCCTTTTTCAGCTCATTTTACAGATGAGAAAACTGAGTTAAATGATTTGCCCAGTAACCTAGCTAATAAGTGTCTGAGGCTAGAGCTGAAGTCAGGAAGAGGAGTCTTCCTAACTCCAGGCCCAGCACTCTATCCACTGCACTATACCTAGCTGCCTAGGTACAGTGACTTATCCACTAGAGAAAGTTACCTGATGGTGATGAGGCCTTACAAAAATCACCCCAAACTGGAAGTTGGGGAGGGTGGGGGGGAATGTGAGTTTTAGTTTCAACTCTACCTCAGAACTATGACCTGCAATGACCTTCAATGAATCACATGCCCCCTCTGAGTCTTGAATTAGAGGACCAAAAAGATTTGCAATGGCCTCCTCATTGGTCTCCCTGACTCAAGCCTCTCTTGTCGGTCCGTAAAAAGATAAGTGGTATATTCAGTGATCTCTGAGGCCTCTCCCAGCTTTCTGTGATTCTGATAGTCACGGTGAGATCCTTGGTATTTTAGACCCAAAGGCAGGGTAGTCTAGTGGATAGGGAGCTGCTGGAGAACCCCAAAAAACCTGGGTTCAAGAGCCTCCTCTGACACAAACTGACTTCGTGACCCCAGAAAAGTCACTTGATTTCTCAAAAACTATAAGTTGCAGGACAGATGCTGACTGGCATCATAGGGCTTCTTCACTGAAAGCTTTCATCTACAACAAAAATCAGAAATCCAGTCAAAAAAGTACTCTGCTTCTTATACGTGGCTCTGCCTTTTTAAACAGAATTATTCAGGAAGCAGTTCAAACCAACGTAAATTCTAGAATTGCCTATTCATCGAGGAGATGATATTCTTCAGAAGGCAGACTTCCTACCACCTCGCCCCTTCCAAACAAACCATGTTGCTTGGAGATGGGGTCAATCTCATCTGGCGTCTGTGGAGAAGTAAACGCGCAGAGCAGGCGTACCCTGGGAGCCCTGTGCTGCTCATTACTGGATTGGGGCTCGGCTTTGCATTTGAGGGAGCCAGAGGGAAAATAATTCACTACCCGATGAAATGAATGACCTGATGAAAGATGAAAAGGAAGGAGCAAGAGAGGGAAAGAGATCAATTCTAGTCAACAGGGGAAGCTGAGTTTTCTCATAAAATGAACTCTGCAAAATAATGGGGAATGTTACAAAGAAGGGGAATCTAGATTCACAGCCTTCAGAGGAAGCACCATTCAGTGCACTCCTGTCAAACTCCAGTCGAAACATATAAGGATCCCTGTGGGCCACATATTAACTTAGGAAATCGTGTATCTATGTTATCTATGTTCTATTGTATTTTTATTTATTCTACTAAATACTTCCCAATTACCTTTTAATCTAGAAGTGTTGTGGGCATTGTGGCCTAGCTTTGATGGAGAGGATAAATTCCTGGACTTGAAGTTAGACATGGGTTTGAATCCTGCCTGACATTTTACTAGCTCTGAAACCACAGCTAAGTCACTTAACTTCTCAGTCTCAGCTTCCCCACCTGTAAAATGGAGATAATGATACCCATAGAATCTATCTCAAGAAGTAGGATATCCTACGATTGGGATATCCTCCCAATTGATCTCCCTGCCTCAAGTCTCTCTCCAGGATATTTATGACATCCTAGTATATTTAGACTACAGTAAGCCTTAGAATCAGGAAGTTCTAGGTTCAAGTTCTGCCCTTCACACATCCTAGTAATCTGACCATTGACAAGTCACTTAGTGTCTCAGTGCCCCAAGTAAATTCCCTGCGAATACAAGGCACAGACGAGTTGCTGATCTATATCAATGGAAGGAATTTCCACAGAAGAAATTCCCTAATGAGTGAGATCACAGGTCCAGACTAAAAAAAATTTTTCAAATATATCTCATAAGGCTCATTGGAGATCTGTAAGGTGCTTTGAAAACTTTAAAGCATTATATAAATGTCAAATGTTATATTCCTCATATGAGTATATACACATGGCATAGTAACCAATCGAAAAAATGAAGAATTCAGTCAACCAGCTGGTTGTTTTGTCTACATGATGGCAAGCTCTCCAAGTGATTGATTTTTTTTAAAAGAATTGACTCATTTTCTTTGAATGAATCAGCCTCTTCTGCAAGTGTCATGTCAACATGTTTTCATTGCTTCAAAACAACTTAACAAAGTTTATCATATTACAACCCCACAGGCCCCCAAGAACTAATGTAACAACTGATTAAATTATCCAGGACAGTGATCTATATAATCACAAGAGAGAAAAAAGGAAAAGGGTGTTAAAGAAAACTCAAGAAAGTGAGGCACTGAGTAGAATTCGATTTAAGGTACTCTTGGACCCAGACTGAACTGGGCTGGTTTTATTAAAGAACCAAAAAGACCCATGATGGCCTCCTACTCAGTCTCCCTGACTCAAGTCTCTCTTGACTACCTCCGTGACTACCTCACAGGATTGTTGGGAACATAAAAGGAGACAGTATTTCTAAAGCATTCTGAAAACCTTAAAACACTATCTAAATACTATTATTATTGTCACCATTGTTGTTATTGTTTTTATCATTATCCTTCAGGAATACCTCAGACCTCTCAATTACTTCCTCTTTGCCCAGTCTACACTACTATATTGGCTCCAGTTTGCTCCCTTTAAGGTCTTGAACCTATGGTAGGATATCTCAACAATGAGCTCACAGACTCTCCTCAGCCCTTTGTGTTGTGAAGCAGCCTTATTTGCTGCAGCTTAATTTAGTTTCAGTTTGGTTTGGTTTAGAAATGACACAGTCTCAGGTTTGAGATATATGGATAGATAGATAGGCAGATATATATGTGTGTGTGTGTGTGTGTGTGTGTATAGATATAGATAGATAGATATAGATAGTCTAAGTATGTATTATTAAATAGTAAAATAGGGTTAGGATTAGTAAGTAAAATAGGGTAAGTCCTAATAGTAACATAAGTCTCAGTCAGTAAGTCCCAATAGTTACAACATAAGTTTCAATTAGTAATAATTTAAGTCATGATCAGCATCAAATCTTACCATAATTGATCGTCACCATCAGGGGAATCATCTACATCTGGATCTTGTGGCTGGGGAGTCCCGAGATCAGCCACCAGAGTCCCAACAGGACGGTCCTGGGCTATGCACCCATACCACAGGGGAGACTCCAAAGATGGCTCAGGACTACCAGGCTTTTTAGTAATTCCTTTTAACTAAGAGGGTAATTTGCCAAATAAATGGGTGATTGGTGGGAAAGGAGCTATTCTCAAAACATCCTTGAAAGCATTCCTGTTTATGAATATTTGGTTCCTGGAAGGGTGGCCAGCCCTTCCTGGGAGCAAATGCCATAAACAGTCCTTCAAAGTCTGGCTAGGAATAAGATTAACAGGAAAAAGAGTCAGGGTCAAATTGCAGGCATACTGAGCGAGGTCAGAATGTCTTTTTGAATGCATACATTTCACCCCTGAATCCCTTTTACCCTTTGCCCTCTTGTGGTTCCCTAGATACTAATCCTTAGTCCTTGGTGACCTCTACTCCTCAGCTCCTCCCTTCTAACTCCGGAGATACTAAACACTGTTGGAGAAAGACTGGGTCCATGACAAATTCATGCCATCAAATCTTCACTAGGCTTGCCTACACTACCCAGTCTCCCTATCTGATTCCTCACTTGATATTAATAATCAGAAGTTTGCCAGATAGAGTGATTTCTGTTCTTACACCTTTCACTTGACATCTTGTCTATTTCAACATGCACATGGGAGACACTTGAATGTTGGAAAGCAGCATTTAAGATGGCATCTTGTTCCACCAAATCAATTGGATTTTTATGGCCAATAAACAATAACCAGAGGGAGATGTGTCATTCTCTATACCCTTCAGTTAATTAAATGTACTCTTTATAAACTATCATTCACAAAAGTCCCTTTTCATAAAGCCATAAAAGATGTTCTCGATGAGTGTGTAGAAGAATGCACAGAGCAGAACCTAGATACTTGCTAAAAAGACAAAGTGAGTCTTGTTTCTACCATCATCAATTCTTCAAGGGGTACAAGAGAGTGGGCAGCTAAGTGACACAGTGGATAGAGCACCAGGCCTAGAGTCAGGAAGACCTGAGTTCAAATCTGGCCTCAGACACTTACTAGCTGTGTGTCACTTAACTCTATTTGCCTCAGTTTCCTCATCTGTAAAATGAGCTGTAAAGGAGAATGACAAATTACTCTAGTCTCTTTGCCAAGAAAACCCCAAATGGGGTCAGGAAGACCACAATTAAACCACAATGACAAGAAAGTTATGGAGGAAACTACTGGGGGAGTCTGCAATGTATGCACATCAGTCAATCAATTAACAAACATACATTTATTAAGCACCTACTGCACCAGGCATTGTGCTAAGCACTGGTTTGCCATGGAAGAGCTTGCGTGCCTTACACCTAGCTGTTGACAGCATACTATCATGGAATAATACTAGATTTGAAGTTGGGAGATCTGGATTAAAACCCTAACTTTCCTACTTACTGCTTTTATGACCTGGGAAAAGTGACTTCACCACTCTGGGACTCAATTTCCTCATCTGTAAAATGAAGGGATTGGACTAGATGATCTTTGGGGAGCCCCTCCAGTTGTAAATCCTATGACAGCACTCTAACCTGGGTCTTCTCCTAACTCTCCGGGCTTTGACACCCAGCTACCTTCTCACACTGGAGATAGCTCTACTCTTTGGATGCTGGGTTCCTATCCAGAACCTCCACTTGAAGTGCCAAGTCAGCCATGCTTACTTCTGACAAATTTCTGTTCCTGACTCTTGGATATTTACACCTTTACCCCTTCCTCCCTTCCTTCATCTTCCTTTTGGGTGTTGTTTCCCCCATAAACTCCTTGAGGATAAAGATGGTCTTCCCTTTCGCCTATATTCCCAATGCTTAGCATGTTACCTGGCATAATAAATGCATTATCCAATCTAATTTAATCTAATCTAATATACAATTCATGTGATGATGGAAGGAAGAGGAGACTTCTAGTAGTATAGTCTCAAAAGCCCTTTCCCCAAACCCCATAAATGGAACAGTGACTCCTTAAGACAAACTAAAATTGCTAGTACTCCAGTCTCCATTTGGTGATTTAACCTTTCTCCATCATTTCCAATCTAAGCCTCTAGCAGCCAAAGGGGAGAGATGTCAGCACCTTTTTGTAGAAATCTGAACTCAGTTGCTATCACTAAACACACAGCCAATGGCTGCCAGTGAGACCTTAATCTCAGACTATAAGAACAAATGCCCCTGAAACTGAAATATGTTCCTCCAACTGTGTGTGTGTGGGGGGGTGTCATCCAAATTCATGGACACTGAAGGGCAAAGGGGATAAACAAGTACTTGGAAACACAAGTTTCTGTTGGAAAGCCAAGTCCAGGACAGCAAAACTGGGATGAACTCTCACTTTGGATAGCGAGACCAGGATTTCATCTGGCCCCAAAGAAGAAGAAAAAAGGCAAAAGGAGTAGAAACACAGCTGAAGAAACTTCAATAGTGGCTTTGGTTCTTTTGGTCCAGCGACACAGTGACGCTCCAGGTTGAATTTCTCATGGCAAGATTAGATCAAATTTGATCCACGCTCCACTCTATCTGGGGTTCTTTCACAGTAAACAAAGTGAGCTTGGGAAGAATACCCAGCTGTGTTCCTTTTCCTTCTGACATCAACTAGAGAAGTTCTCCGGTGAGCCAAATCTTACTGATCGCTGTGTTGATATCAAAGAAAACTCTACCTGATCCCTTCTGCAGCTACCTGAGTACTTACCCTGCTGGAGAGAAGAAGAAACTAAACAAAACTAAACAATGAAAGATGGTTGGCTTGGGCCAGATTTGAAGTCAATTAATGATATTCATCCATTCTCTAAACTAGAGAAGGGCACATCCCAAAGGAAATAATTTTCTTCATCTTTTGAAGTCTCTGGGAAAAGCCTAGGGCAGAATACATACATACATACCTGTATATATTTTGAAAATATATATATAGTATGTATATACTGAATATATATAGAATATATGTGTGTAAATATATATAATAAAATATCATATATATGTATATGTGTGTATATATATATATGTGTGTGTGTGTGTGTGTGTGTGTGTGTGTGTGTGTGTGTGTGTGTATAAAGAGATAATCTAAACAGATCCAAGATGAAGCACATTAGGGAGACTGTATTCCAAAAAGCAGACTATTTGAGCCTGTTCCACAGTGATAAATTGAGGGATCAGAGGGAAAAAGAAGTGGTTTATATGTCACTTTCTTTCATGGTGGTTGAGAAAACTGCTATAGCAATATCTCTTGCAGAAGGCTGTTTTGTGCCTTTGAGAAGTTGAATGCAAAAGCAAACTCTGTCCTTGGGGCCCTTCCCTCCCTCTTCTTGGAGAATAGAGAACCCTCCCAGAACCTCCAAGAAGGCTAGTTATTTCTTCATTTCCCACCAGAGTACCCTCCTCTGAACTTCTCCAACATACCCCTGGGCTGGTACCTTCCCCTATCCCAACCATTCCTCCCCTTTTCAGCTTCTTTTTATGAGTTTTATTCACCTATTAGAATATAAGTTTCTTGAGGGCAAGGACTCTTTTTTTTTTTTTGCTTGTATTTGTATTCTCAGTTTTTAACACAGTGCCTGACCCCATAGTAAGTTCTTAATGAATATTTGTTGCAAATGATGAGCGGGTGGACTTCAGAAAAACCTGGAAAGACTTGTATGGAGTGATGCTGAGTGAAGTGAGCAGAACCAGGAGAACGTTGTGCACAGTAACAGTCAACGTTGTGTGATAACTAACTTTGATAGACTTAGCCCTTCTCACCAATGCAAGGATCTAAGACATCTCCAAAAGTCTCATGATGGAAAATGCTATCCACATCCGAAGAAAGAATATGGAGCTTGAATGCGTATCGAATCACGCTATTTGCTTTTTTTTTCTTCTGTGTTATTTTGTTTCTTCTTTCTTGTGGTTCCTTCTATTAGTTCTAATTCTTTCTTACAACATGACTAGTGTGAAAATATATTTAATAGGAACGTATATGTATAGCCCATATCAGATTGCACACAGTCTTGGGGAGGGACGTGGGGAGGGAGGGAGAGAAAAATTTAAAACTCAAAAGCTTATGGAAATGATTGTTGATAAATCTAAATAAATAAATGTTTGTTGACTGTCTGACTCACACACATACACACTTTTAACTTGGCATGCTTGTTACAGGCAGCATTATTGACAACATAAGGAGTCATTCAACAATGTACTAAATTATACCACCTGCAACTGATTCCATGATGTTAGAAGTCGATGGACTTAACGTCTGTAAATCTTTGCTGGAACCTAAAGCTATTTCTACACACTCAAAATAGTTCGTTAACTTGCTAGACCTGTACAGCTTTTCATTATTATCATTATTATTTAATGATGTGGTCAAAGCTATCAAGCTGGTTTCTGCATGAAGACATAGCCTAATAGAAGAAGTGAACTCCCCTTAGGTGGTAATCTACTGCTCCGGGCTCATATTGCCTTTACTACTGCCTTCTTACCTTTGCTGCACGCAAGGCCATCCCTCGTATCTGAAATGACCTTCCTGCTTACTTCTGCCCCTTAGAATTCCTAGCTTCTAATTCTATGTAACAAAAAACTATAGAATATTAGAGCTTTGGGGGGGGAGGGGAGACTCAGAAAGCTTTTGAGTGACTTCCTCTCCTTCCCACATCACCTTGTCTTGTGGGAACTAGGATAAATTGTGTGTGCATGTGTGGTACTAATAGCATCCTGCAGTAGATGCTGATGCAACAACGGCATTAAGAATGCCTTGCCTCAAATGTCTCTTCCACACAAGGCCTCTCCTGATCCCCAAAGCTGTTAGTACTCTCCTCCATATTACTCCCTCCCTCTCTCCTCTTTCCTCTCTCATTCTCCCTTTCCCCTCTCTTTTCTCTCTACCTCTCTGTTTTTCTTTTTCCTCTCCTCTTCTCTCTCTCCCTTTCCTTTGCTTTTCTTCTTTGTCTCCCTCTTTTTTCTTTCCTCTCTTCTTCCTGTCTTCCTTCCCCCTCATTTCTCTCCCTTTTTTCCTCCTCCTCCTCCTCATCTCTCTCCTCTCCCTGTCTCTTTCTTCTCTCCCCTTCTGTCTCCTGTCTCATTCTCTTTCCCCTCTCCTTACTCCCTCCCTCCCTACTTCTCTTTTCTCTCTCCTCTTCTCTATCTCTCTCCCAGCTTGCTCTTCTTTCTCTCTCTTCCCCTCCCTCTTCTTCTCCCCCTCCTCCTCTCTCTCCTTTCCTTTCTTTCTTGTCCCTCTC